AATATAAGGAGGCTGATTTGTAATGGGGTAGGGAGAGGGAACATGGGAGGAATAAAGGAATTCTAGATAGGGCAAAGGGGTTGGAGGGGAAGGGAGGGGGCATGGGGTTAGAAATGATGGTGGAATGTGATGATCATTATTATTCAAAGAACAGGTATGAAGACACGAATTGGTGTGAATATACTTTGTATCCAACCAGAGATATGAAATATTGTGCTCTATATGTGTAATAAGAAATGTAATGCATTCCACTGTTATATATAAATTTTTTAAAAACTATACTAAGCATTTAGAGTGGGCTTTAAGACACAAGGGAGCCCTAGAAGTTCTGGAATCTGCTCTTAACCAAGCTTTTCCTCTCAGAGTCCAAGGGAGCTGCACACAGTGGGGAGATCAAAGTTATAGCACACTCTACTACACTCCTACCTGAAGCTGGGATTTGAACATGACACTTGGGCTCAAGACTGAAATGGAAATTCTCCTTTCCCCTTAATTCCTTACCACTTGGTTGTTATGAGGGAGAGAGTGGAAACTCCTCAACTATCTGAGTCATGTAGGAAGATGGCTAGCTCACACTTGTGCTATACTGTACCCCTGCTGTTACCCATCACCTACTTACTGCTCCCCATCACCTACTTACTGCTCCCTATCACCTACTTGCTAAGCTCTACTGCCTATCCAGAAAGCCTGTTCTGAAACCCTAAATTAGCAGTGTTCCTTGCCTTCCCTGAGTTTACCACCCCTGCTCCCGAGCGCATTTCTCATGTTAGTGGTGGTAGTGGTGGTGATGGTGGTGGTRAGTGTGTATGTGTGTTTGTTTTCTTCCCTCTACTAGAATTATTAGCTAATTGGAAGATGAGAATTTTGCTTTATTTTCCATGATCTCTCCTACAGTGCCCAGCACACAGTAGACAAACAATAAATACTGATCAGATGGAGCAGTGTAGGTTGGGTGACCCTGTGGGAGAAATCTAGCAGACTATCCCTTGGGAGTGGAATTTGCCTGAATTCTCTCTGTCTGCTGCAGTGGCTATTGGTTGGAGCTTCCTGCTGGCTGCCCCATATTGCTCTGTGACAGCAACCTTTCAGGGATTTCTCTCCTCCTTTAAACTTCAGARAAGTAATTCAGACTTTTCCAGGTCTTGCACACTGTTACTAGTAGTATTGGCACTCTGTGCCAAGTCCCCTGACTTCAACCCTGAGGCTCCACAACGGAAATGGGAGGGATGGAGATTAGCTTCTTCTTTTCCAAAAGCCAATCGCTGGGACTTTGTTGAGAAGAGGAAAGAAGGATGGCACTCATTTATTTTAAGCTGACATCCTGCCTACTTTTGAGTTCTATTTCTTGATTGTTCTGAAATAGACGGGACCTTGGGAGCATTGATGAAGTGCAGCAGATATCTTTGGAAGATGCTCTTTCCAGCCAAGAAGTGGAGGTTGCCTACATCTGCAGCGAAAACACCAGTCATGAGGACTACATCAGGTAGGGGTTTGGTTGTTATTGTTATTGTTTGCTTGTTTGCAGTGCCGAGGCTTGAACCCAGAACCTCTTATGTGCTAGCAAGTGCTCTACCACTGAGCCACACCCYAGCTTCAGGTAGGTTTTTTTTTTAATGCAGGTAGTCTTTGCTTTACATTAAAAATGTGGAAAAAATAAAGCCCTGCACATGAGTCTTAATAATCAATGGGGGAAATTGTTCTGTGATCTTTAAAAATAATTGTGAAAAATGTTAAAAAAAAATTCTTGTTTTCAGTTATAAATGTATAAGAAATGAAAAAATAGTAAAACTAATATTAACATAGTACATATAATTTGAAACATTAAGAATTCAAGTGTTTATTTCTTTGTGAGAAACCCCATTGAAAGTAGTTTGAACAGAGCTTGCCTCCTTATTACACAGGTTAGGATACAGAGCCAACATCCTTGGTAAATTGTTATACTCCTTTCTAAGTTCAGATCAGCTTTCAACTTTTATTTATTTATTTATTTATTTATTTTGGTACAGGGGATTGAACCCAGGGTTGCTTTATCACTGAGCTACAGCCCCAAGCCTTTTTTTTCCCCTAGTATTCTTTTTAGTTGTAGACACAGTACCTTTATTTTTTATTTATTTTTATGTGGTGCTGGGGATTGAACCCAGTGCCTCTCATTTGCTAGGCAAGAGCTCTACAACTGAGGTACTACCCCAGCCCCCCAGGCCTTTTTATTTTAGTTTTAGACAGGGCCTCACTTGCTGAGGCTGGCCTTGAACTTGCAATCCTCCTGCCTCAACTTCCTAAATCACTGGGAGTACAAGCATGTGCCACCACACCCAGCCAACTTTCAACATTTTTTCCTTTGCATTTTCAGTGTTGTGAAATATCTCCTAAGTTCCTTTACCATGAAATGTTTTTGCTATGAGACAAATGAGTAAGGAGATAGTAGTGTCATTGAATAGGGGAAATGCATTGTTTGTAGGGAAGGAGAGAAATTAAATGTGTGAATGCTTAGCCTAGAGCCTTTTAAGCATTTGGTGTGACCCAATGCAGAAGAAGGAATCCCAGAAAGAACTTGGCAGCCAACAGGAAAGTCCAGCTGAATTCCTGAGTAGATTCTTTTTTTTTTTTTTTAAAGAGAGAGTGAGAGAGGAGAGAGAGAGAGAATATTTAATATCTATTTTTTAGTTGTCGGCGGACACAACATCTTTGTTGGTATGTGGTGCTGAGGATCGAACCCGGGCCGCACGCATGCCAGGCCAGCGCGCTACCGCTTGAGCCACATCCCCAGCCCCCTGAGTAGATTCTTACACAGAACTCCAGCTGCTACTACTGTGCTGTTCCATAGGTTCCCTTAAAGTTCTCTGGCACCAGAGTTTATTTTCTTTAAAAGTGATCATATAACTTTGTGCTTGTAAATACTTATACCCTACTATCAAGATAATAATATCCAGCCAGGTGTGGTTAGTATACACCTATAATCCCAGCTACACCATAGACTGAGGCAGAAGAATTCAACTCGTTCCAGGCCAGCCTGGATAACTTTGCAACTTAGTAAGACTTTGTCTCAAAATAAAATTTTTAAAAAGGGCTGGGGATGTACCTCAGTGGTAGAGTGCTTCCCTAGCATGTGCAAGAATCTGGGTTGAATCTTCAGTACTAGGAAAAAAACCATATATTAGATATAATTCTTCCTCCATATTCTCTGACACTGACTCTTGGCCCCATCATGATATATTTACAGAGACTCTCTTGCATTTACAGCATTCTGTTCTCTCTCATGCAGAGCATTTCAGTGAAGCTTATTTGAATGTTTTTTCCCTGTATTTCTCCTTTCCCAAAGGAAGTTCCTGAATGCTGGCAAGCATGTCCTTGTGGAATATCCCATGACGCTGTCTTTAGCAGCAGCTCAGGAATTGTGGGAGCTGGCCRAGCAGAAAGGTGATGTATGCGTTGTCTTGAATACAGACCCACTTAGTAAGAGCTTCTGCCTCCAGAATACCTGTGGTACCTGTGTTAGTCAGTATTCCATGGTTGTGACAAAATACCTTAAAAAATGTTCTCAAGGAAGGAAAGGTTTACTGTGGCTCACAGTTTCAGAGGTTTCAATCCATAGTCACTAGGCTCTGTTGTTTYTGAGACTATTAAACAGCATCACAGTAGGGAGCATCTGCTTACCTCCTGGGATCTGGGAAGCAAAAAGAGCAAGTGAGGTGAGGCTGGGGACAAGATATATCTTTTCAGGGCACATCTCCAGTGATCCTCCTCCAGCAGGGCCTACCTCCTACAGTTTTTAACCACCTCTCAATAGTCCAGTCATTCATTAACCCATCAATGGAGTGATCCATTGATGAGGTCACAGCCCTCATGATCCAATCACTTCTCAAAAGCCCCATTTCTGAACATTGCTACATTGTACATCAAACCTTTGAAGGACATTTGAGAGCCAAACCAAAATCGTTCCATTGTCAATCATTACTCCTTTCAAATTTAATCAATCTCAGATATATATATTTCTTTTGATACTGGGGATTGAGCCCAAGGGTACTCTACCACCAATCCATATCCCTGTGTCCCTAACCTTTTTTTTTTTTTGCATACCAGGAACACTTAACCACTGAGCCACATCCCCAGCCCTATTTTGTATTTATTTAGAGACAGGGCCTCACTAAGTTGCTTGGGGCCTCATTGTTACTGAGGCTGGCTTTGAACTCTWGATCCTTCTGCCTCAGTCTCCAGAGCTGTTGGGATTACAGGTATGCACCACGGCACATAGCCCTCACCCTTTCTTTTTTAGTATTGGGGATTGAATTTAGGGGTACTTGGCCACTAAGCTACATCCCCAGGCCTATTTTGTATTTTTATTTAGAGACAGGGTCTCATTGAGTTGCTTAGCACCTCATTTTTGCTGAAGCTGGCTTTGAACTTGCGATCATTCTGACTCAGCCTCTGAAGCTGCTGGATTACAGACGTGTGCCACTGTGCTCAGCAGCCCTGACCCTTTTTTTTTTTTTTTTTTTTTTTTTTTTTTTTTTTTTTTTTTTTAGGAGCTCATTAAGTTGCTTAGGGCCTTGCTAAATTGCTGAGGCTGGTCTTCAACTTGTGATCCTTTTGCCTCAGCCTCCCAACTTGCTGGAATTACAGGTGTGCACCATCGTGCCCAGCTCAGATATATTTTCCAGGCCATATTGGTATTATGGGCTCCCAAGATCCTTCCTACTCCCACACTGTAGGCACACAGAGGGCAGTACATGGAGGCCAGAGGGAAAGGTATTTGCAAACTTTTACTCTAATGAAGAAAGATAAATTGGCTCCTACTGTGCTAGTATCATGACATTATTTTCGTCTTATGTATGTGATACTTACATTGTTAATGGAAAATACGCAAATATCTTATTTGCATACTTTAGTCTTTGTTGTTTCACAAAAGGAGCAACTGTAATGTTACATGCCGGGAGCTTGGAAACTTTGAAGTATTTCATATGCTTAATTCTCCTAGAAACCCTAGGAAATRGGTGTTTTAATCTACTTTCTGTTGCTATAATAGAACACTTGAGACTAGATAATTTATAAAGAAGAGAACTTTGTTTTTACTTTATAGTGGTGGAGGCCAGAAGTCCAAGATCAGGTGTTTGCATCTGTTTGGCTTCTGGTGAGGCTCTCCTGCAGCTGCATACATGGGGGAAAGTAGAAAGACAAACTGGCATGTACAAAGAAAGAATGGGGCTTCTTCATTTAGCCAGTTCATTTCCCAAAAGAGCAAGAAYACACATGAGAAAAGCATTCATCCATTCACAGAGGTGCAGATGCCTCTCAACACTGCTACATTGGGACCCAAGCCTCAACATGAGTTTGGTTAGGACAAACCATATTCAAACYTGTGTAGCAACAAGTATTTGCTTACACCATTGTAGACAGATCATACTTTACTGAATTTTTTAAAAATGTTTTTATAGTTGTAGATGGACAGAATGCCTTTATTTTATTTGTTGATTTTTATGTGTTGCTAAGAAGTGCACCCAGTGCCTCATGCATGCTAGGCAAGCACTCTGCCACTGAGCTACAGCCCCAGCCCTATTGAAACTTTTGATTGTCATTTTCAAACACTGGGATATACTCCTCTAGGCCAGGGCCCATCTTCTACTTCTATAGCCCCAGCAGCTAAACACTGCCTGGAACTCAGTAGGCCTTTAGTAGGTGTCTTTGGAATGAACAAACAGATGAATGAATACAGAGGTGAATGAAAGTAGGGGGAGCTTTATGGTCATCACATCTTGTGTGATTTCTTAGGATACAGATGTCTATAAAGAAAGTACAAGGTGCCACAATATGTCTCACAGGTTTCTTGCTAATTGCAAAGGGAAGAAAGTGTACTATTATTATAAGGAGCTTTATATTAACCAAAATGATAGCCAATATGAATCAATCTGACATCACCAGCCATCTGGTATTCTTGCAAAATGTTTATCTAGACATAATGACATTTAAATCAAACTTTTAGTTAACAGAAAATATAGGGATAGAGGAACAAGTTAAACATTAAAAAAATATGAGCAAAGTAGAATGTGGAACAATAGTATGTTAGCATGGCAGAATACCTGAGGCAATCAACTTACAAGGCGGAAAGCTTTATTTTAGCTCACAGTTTCAGAGGTTTCAAGTCCATGGTCACTTGGCTGTATTGCTTTGGGTGTGTGGTGGTACATCGTGGCAGGAGTGCATGACAGAGGAAGCCTGTTCCCTTTACCAGCCAGGAAGCAAAGACAGATGGGAAATGGAGAAGGTCTCTCTATCCCCTTTACACAATGACCTACCTTCCTTCCACTACCCCGCCTCCATGATCCCATCACCTCTTAGTAGCACTATGACTGCAATGCAGCCTTTAACACAGGGCTTTGGCAGGCATTTCAGAGCCAAAGTATAGCCAACACTAGACAGTATAATAGGTTAAATTTTCTTCAAAAAAGATAATGCCTTGTATATAGTAGTGTTCTTCCAAAGACTACAGTATAGAAAGGAGGGGMTAGGAGTATTTTTACACTGAAGAAACACTACCTCACCAGATGAGCAAGGTCAGTGTCAACATGWGTCATATGAATAGCACGTACGCTTGATGTGAAAGGTGAAAATGGCCTTTCGCCTCTGTAGTCTTCCTCCCTAAAACACATAACCCAATCTAATCGTGAGAAAAATACCAGACAACTCTCAGTTGAGGGAAATTTTACAAAATATCTGATCAATCCTCTTCAGAACTGTCAAGGTCATTAAGAAACAAGAAAAGCCTGAGAAACTTGGCAACCCAAGAAGAGTACCAGGAGACATGATAACTAAATGTAATGTGGGATTCTGAAACAGAAGAGGCATGTTGGGTAAAAACTAAAAATCTGAATAAASTTTGACCTTTATTTAATTTGAGGAAGTGGTTTTATTTTATTTTTAATTGATAATTTACAAAGTTATGGGAACAGGGTTATTTTGATACATGTATATATTGTACAGTGATCAAATAAGGGTAATTAGTATACCCATCACCTCAAACATGTTTTTTTTTTTTTAAAGATAATTGACTAGCATTTCCTTTTATTTATTTATTTATTTGGGTGGGGAGGAGAGAGAGGAGAGAGAGAGAGAGAGAGAGAATTTCAATATTTATTTTTCGGTTTTTCTGCGGACACAACATCTTTGTTTGTATGTGGTGCTGAGGATCGAACCCGGGCCTCACACATGCCAGGCGAGCGTGCTACCACTTGAGTCACATCCCCAGCCCTCAAACATGTTTTTTTCTGTTAAAATATTTTAAAATCCTTTCTTCTAGCTATCTTGAAATATAAAATACATTTTTATTGACTATAGTTGACCTACTGTGCCATGGACTTATTCCTCATATCTTACTGTAACTTTTTACCTTTTGACCAACCTCTCCCCATCTCTACTCCCCCTACCCTTTCCACCTTCTGGTAATCATCATTCTACTCTCTACTTCTTTCTTGCATAGTAATAGTAATGTGTTTTTCACATTGCATTCTATCAGGTGGCACCCAATTCAATATGTTCCATTACTGATGATGCTGCTTGGTGAAGGTTGTTATGTTTCCATTATTCTTTGAGTATCTTCCTGCTTTCCGCACAAAATGATTTAGGCTACTCTTGTTCTCTGCCTCAGCCCTGGAATTAGCCGTTTCTCCAATGGCCAATGATATATAGATGCTAAAATTTAGATGCTAAGTATGTTTATTGTTTTCAGATGTCTCTGCTTTTAGGCCCTTTCAGTTTTAAAATGTAGAGTATACGTATATGAGTATGTGTGTGTGCATACACACATACACCCTATGGTTACTGTGTTTTATCACAATAAAGCATGGAGTGAATGGGAAAAAAAATGATGCAGTTAGAAGATGTAAAG